TATACACACTACCAAATGTAAAATAGATAGCTAGTGGGAATCAGCCACATAGCACATGGAGATCAGCTCGGTGCTTTGTGAAGGCCTGGAGGGGTGGGATAGGGAGGGTGGGAGGGAGGGAGATGCAAGAGGGAGGAGATATGGGGATATATGTATATGTATAGCTGATTCACTTTGTTATAAAGCAGAAACTAACACCCCATTGTAAAGCAATTATACTCCAATAAAGATGTTAAAAAAAAAATGTGTTCAAAGCCTTCCAGAATGTAAGTTCCAACCTTTCTCCCCAAGCTCTTTAAATCCACTCCCCCTAGAGAAACGTACACATGCACATTACTTCCCAATACACACTTCACTTATATTCCACAGAACTCTGTTCAACTTATTTTGTCTGTAATACATAACAGACAAAATTAATTTAGATCAAATGTTTGGGGGAAATTTCCAATTTCCAAAATTATTCCTGATATTGGAATATTGAATATTTTACTTTCTGAAAATATTTATGTTTTCCAAACGAAATTCCTATGCAGTTAACTGCTGCTTCTTAAGAGAAAGGAGACAGTCATAGGATAATTTGTACATTAGAAATCGTAAACAGAAACTCTTTTTTTTTTTTTTTTGTGGTACGCGGGTCTCCCACTGCCGTGGCCTCTCCCGCTGGGGTGCCAGAAGTTCCGGACGTAGAGCCTCAGCGGCCATGGCTCACGGGCCCAGACGCACCGCGGCATATAAGATCCTCCTGGACCGGGGCACGAACCCGCGTCCCCTATATCGGTAGGCGGACGGTAGGCGGACTCTCAACCACTGCGCCACCAGAAAAGCCCAACAAGGACTCTTTAAAAATTGGGAGTAGGGCTTCCCTGGTGGCGCAGTGGTTGAGAGTCCGCCTGCTGATGCAGGGAACACGGGTTCGTGCCCCGGTCCGGGAAGATCCCACATGCCGCGGAGCGGCTGGGCCGCTGAGCTTGCGCGTCCGGAGGCTGTGCTCCGCAACGGGAGAGGCCAGAAAGGTGAGAGGCCCCCGTATCGCAAAAAAAAAAAAAAAAAAAAAAAAAATTGGGAGTAATACTTAGTAATTTGATAAAAGGGATAAATTAAAGACCCTTTTTAAAAATAAGGAGACAATCTACATTATTAAGAGATAAAAATGTTGAGCTGATGACTTCCCTGCTTTCAAATGCTTAAAGGGCTATTACTGGGAGATTCCTAACTATTATCCTTCATAGGAACAGAGCTAGAGGAAAAAAA